TTTATTTCATTACTTTTATGATTATTTAAAATGAAAACACCTTTTTTAATGATATTAAAAAAGGCTGGAAAAATTATGCTCACGTGCACCAATACTACTAATAATACTACTACTTGAGTATTAAACTACAAAGAATGAAATGGGCAGGCCATGTTATCAGAATGAACGAAGACCGTACCACAAAAAGAGTTTTCAATGCCAGACCAGTTGGCACATGAAACAGTGTAGGCCGAATTTGAGATGGATAGATGGCCTAGAAGAAGAACTTTTCGTCTTAAAAACTAAAAATTGGAGAACACTTGCAGGAAAAAGGTTAGCCTGGAAGAAACTTCATGAGAAGGCCAAGGCCCACCTTAGGCTGTCGAGCCAATAATGATGATGAGTACTAGAATAACTAATAAAGATGCATTTTAACAAACATTTTACTTCACAATAATATCATTACTATTTACATCACTAATATTAATTTTACAAATTCAAAAAAACAGGGTGCGTAGCCAAATTTTTTAACAAAAATAAGCACCTTCTAAGCACTCAACAAATATTTTCAAGCAGTTTAAAAAAATATCAAAATTGGTATGTGTGCACTAATAAATGTTTTCTTCCTATTGACGCAAGTTCTTCAAATATATATTTAAAAAATGTAAAATACTTTTCAGAATTTACTCGATCATGATAAAAGAGATAGAACAGCCATCATAAAAAACAATTTATGCGCAATTTTAAATTTCTTCACTATTGAGTGGCTCTTTCTCTATCAGCCATCATAAAAAACAATTTATGTTCAATTTTAAAATTCTTCACTATTGAGTGGCTCATTCTATTTTCTAAATTAATAATTACTTATGTAAAAAATTGTTAAGATTGTAAAGAAAAAATTTCATTTTGGAAAAGGAAAAAATCAAAGCAATTTTAAAGGCTTTTAAAAAATTGAAAACAAGCATCTTTCAGCACTTCTTTAAAACGCTACGCACCCTGAAAAATATATATAAACAAATTTAAAGAAATAAATGTACAGATTCTAAAAACTTCAAATAGCCCAAGATTCAACACCTTAAATGAAAACGAGAGGTGCCAATTTTCCATCAAAGCACAAAAATATACATAATATATACACAAAAATATATACAATTAGCATTAACGAAATCCATATACTTTAATTATACTACGCCAATATAGATAAAAAAAGAAATCCAGTAGATTTTACGAATTAATATTTATTTACGGAATTATGTACTAAATATTTTACACATAAGGAATTTTCAGTCATCGAAATATAAAAATATTTTCCAGCTTTGATTGCCATTAAATATGCTTGAAATGTTACGCTATATGTTTACTCATGATTTTGAATAGTAATAGGCCTTTAATTTATCAAAAATAGTTTATAGATTATTCTAGTAAAGTTATAAAAAATCTAGTTCTGAATAAATAAAATAAACTGAATATTTTAGTATTAAGAGTTTTTAATTGATTTCTTTCAATAAATGAGGCTTGCTTCATTATGTATTTGTAATACTTCTTTATATATTCAAGCAAGCAATAATTTGTGAGAGAAAATAAATTTTAATATGGATTTTTTTAGGAAACTTACCCTATTTTAGGGATTTTTTCGAAATGTACAAAAATTAGGAGAGTTTTGATTAAACCAATAGACCAGGAGAAACTGGCAAAATCCAGTAGAGTTGACAGATATGAAATCGTGAAAATGACAGATAAAATGCAATAGTTGGCACCTCTGTTTCAAAAGTTTTTAACAAAAAATTCTAATTTTAGAACTTAAATTCAAATAGACATGTTGGTTACAAGTTTGCGACAGTCACTTTTTTCTTTTTTTTTAATTTTTCAAAACCTTTTTATTTTGTAAATGAAATCCAAACTAGAATTTAAAAATATGTCAACATCTTCCAAATTTATGACATAGTTACAAATGCGAAAATAAATAATTTTTAGAGTAACTTCCATTAGAAAAAATACTTCATAACACTGAATTGGCGATTTTAAGTTCTTTTCTAAATTTATATTAAACGTAAGCAATAAGTTCTAAAAATTAAATTTGCTTTTAAAAAGAAATCAGAAGTATTTATAATTTTAAAACACAATTCTAACAAAATTCTTTTTTTTTCCATCTCAACTTTAAATTAACCTTAAAATATTTGAACTTTTGAATCGCGTATGAAAATGATCCAAAGTGTATCCCATCATGTTTTAGTTCTTATCATAAAAAAATAAAACAAAACGCTCTTAAAAGCAACATTTTGAAATATGTTTTGAACTCTATAATGAAGTGCTTAGTTCAAAAATTAAGTAATAGGTTCTGCGTCAACGAAGTGATAAAATGCAACTTCTGTTGAACCGGGAATCTGAGCACCATATAGGTCTGTCTTGGCTCTTGTTGGAATTTTTTTCGTCTGGCACCTACAAAGGATTAAATGAACTGGGGTCCGATGCACAGCTCTTTAAGAAAAATTGATTCGAGGAAAAAAAGAGAAAAAAACAAGTACCTTTAGCCAAAGAAACTAAATAACAACTAATTTTCTTTCTTTATAACACAATGAAGTTATAATTGTATGTTGAACAGCCTTTCAATTCAATAGGATTAGTTAACAAAAGTTTTCGATCTCACTATTTTTCAAATTTTTACACATCATTTTTCAAATTTTTACTTTAATCCTGAATTTTAGAATTAAATCTACTGAAGTAAAAAAATTGAAAGCTTAAAATAAATGTACGAAAAAAATATTTCACGCTTTTCTAGTTACAGGAATATATAAAATTTTTTAAAATTTAATTTGAAAAAAACATTGTTTTTATCTACTTTGAAAGCTTTTGAAAGAAATCATCGTTGAAATAGAATCGTTCGTAAATTGTTTTCTGCCACTTTATATGCACTATTCATGTAACTATTTTTTAGCTGTTATAAAAAAAAACGTGTTTCCAAATTGTTTTCTCCATTTCTTTAAAATTGATTTTACATTTGATATATATTTGACATTTTAATTTTAAAATTAAATATTTTTTTGAAAAAAAAAACTTTCAGTTTTATGATTTCGTCTGATATTTTCTTTATTTTAAGAGTAATAAAAATAAGTAAAGTTTAGCGAAACACAATTGCGGAATTTCACTAAATTGTTTCAATGGATTATTAATGTTTTTATTTTCCTATTTTAAAAGTGAAAACATTTTTAAAAAAAATATTGATTTTAAAAATATTTAGTATTCATTTATTTAGGATTAAAACTGAATAATAAAAGTTAAAGCTTTCCCCACGAGTAAACTAATATTTACTTTAGCTAACCATTTAGTTACATTTTAACCAACTACCAACAAATATTCTAGCTGATTAAGCTAACTACAAATGTTGAAAAAACATTTTTAAAACTGATTCAAAGATTTTAACAATTTTTGAACTTTTTTTTTTTAATTGATAGAAAGTATGAAGATTAGATTAACAAGGGTTAATATAAGTCATATGAGATTCATAGACATTTTTTTAGTATTCACAAACCTTGATTTAAAAATAAATTTTCTGACGTTAAAATATATGATTTAAGAAATATATTTCAGTACAAACCTTAAATGATTTAAGATGATAAATAAAAAACTGATAATTCGGTGAAAATTTAATAAATATTTATATTTAATTTTTTGATAAACAGATACAAATTGACTAAAATATTAAATTTATTGAGTGAATTAAATAAATATATTTCAGAATTAACCCTTAACGAATCAATGGCAACCAAGCCCTATGAAGTGAATATGGTAGTAAAAGTTATTTCATAAGCTTTACCACTTTTCATCATTTTCATATTTTCAATTAGTTGTGTAATTATAATAACTTATATATAATTAATATTGAAATTTTATCATGATAATAATTATTAGTAATACTTTTATAAATATTCACTATTAAAATTTTCTGTCCAAAGTTACAGACTTTGAAGAAAATAAACTTGAAATATTTCAGGACAGTTAAGGGTTAATATCTAATTTTATCTAACTTATTAAGCAATATTTGATATTGAATTTCAAAATATTAACAATAATTCAGAATTTTTTTTAATGGTAATGACGAATGTAATAAAAACATTCTTTTTTGCTATCTTCTTCAATTTGTACTTATGTAGCATTTATTCATTATATTATATGGAACATTTGCTCAAAATTTATTGAATTAATAGATCTAAAAAAAGTAAATTTTATACAGAAGAAGAAAAAAGTAAATTTTATACAGAAGGAAAAAAAAACAAATTATTTTGAATTAATGAAATGAATTTAAAAAAATTAAAGATAGTTGCTTTGCTATCTGCAAACTATTAATTCAACTTTGAATTGAGAGTAAAAAAAAATGCTAAAAATATCAATAACTTGCAAACACACAGTTTTTCTTGGCACAAGAATATGATTCATATAAAAACAACTGAACAATTAGTAGTTTGGAGGTAAGACAAAATAAAATTAAATATAAGACAATTAGGAGAATGAAACAATAATCAGTTTGCAATTTTTTGGAAATTTTTTTTTTTTTTTTTTTTTTTTTTTTNCAAACTAAGTCATAATTCGAAATGTTGAGTTAAAATTTTCAGTTTTTTTTAAAGTCCTACATATCATTTATATATATATATTTTTTTTTTTTAATTTCAATTTTTTTCACTTTTCAATTTCTTTTTTCATTTTTTTTTTAATTTATGCAAACTGTAATTTTATGTACTGTAATTATATCACGTTTTGACAAAGAGAACAAGATAAACGAGAATAATACTGCTTTTCAGCAGAAATCAAAGTGCATGGTAAAATAACAAGTGGAAAACAGAAATCAAAGTGCATGGTAAAATAACAATGTCCACTGAGTTGTCATACGAAGAGGAGAAGAAAAAAATCACGGATCAGTTGTTGAGATGGACACCATCCATGCTCCAATACCATGAGTCAGTTCTTGAGATTGGCACCTTCCATATTACACAGGTGATGCTTCAATTCGATCCAATGTTGAATAGTCATTCAAGTAATTCCAATAGGCAAAGATAATATTCTGCATCCTCTTGTTGAGACTCTCTTCTTATTTTGTTGTCCTTCATATTAGGCAAATGAGAATCAGACCAGGAGCTGAAGAGCAATGGACATCACAAGTTCAAACACACAACAGTGGTCAATAAGAATGAATTCAATTGTCCATGAAACTTTAAAATGGAAAGAATCGATGAGGAATCACAGTCTCAACGAGGCCAAGGCCGTCCCAGTCAGATACACAGCAATGGTCCAAGGCGTCCGTTTTCTCACACCTAATTCTTCCTGTCACCTTCTTTCCCAGAGAACAGAGGTTTTGCCACAACACTTTCCCTGGAGATATCAAGCTCTCATTTATTCAAAATGGAAAGTATCGATGAGGAACACCTTCGACACCACACTGTCTCAAGTTCTCATTTCGTTGAGGAACACGGTTCCTTGGACACCACACTGTCTCAAGTTCTCATCTCTTCAAAAGGGAAAGTATCGATGAGGAACACGGTTCCTTGGACACCACACTGTCTCAAGTTCTCATTTCTTCAAAAGGGAAAGTACCGATGAGGAACACGGTTCCTTGGACACCACACTGTCTCAAAGACGCCGTCATAGTCAGCGATGGTCACAGTCTATCAAAGGCTTTCAGATTTCTCACACCAAGACCAACTCGATCCTCCTTTTCTAGAGCTAGAGGTTTTGTGAATAAAGCCAGTTTCTTTGCCGGATTGTGAGCTTTACGAGTGTCCAAGCCATCTCATGATTTAACAATTTGAACGATAGGGCTCTGTTTAACAGTGAGCTGCTCAACAACAAAATGTCTGCCATAAGTTATTTTCATTCACAGAGCCTTAATTTTTCTCAGAATTTATTTTCAAAGACCCAAGGAAGACTCCATTCTTATTTTACCACACGATATAGAAAATTCTGGAATGTGCGCTTCTGTTCAATTCTTCATTAGAGTTCAATTATTCATTCGAATTCAGTTCTTCAAAACTTCTCCAGTTTTAACAAGCCATTCCAAGGCAAATAAAGGGCTTTACATTTTATACAAATTCATAAATAAAAACAATTTGCACTCTTAAAAATGTAATAGTAATTTAACATGGTAAAGTTCAAAATAATTTCTCGTTCATTATTTGTTTGCAAGTTATTTATATATAAAAATGAGATTATGAAAAGTAATTTTTGTTGAAAAAAATATGCAATGCATATTGATTTTACTCTCTGAAGCTAAGTACAAAACATTTACAAATATCTCGAAGAAAATTTAGAATATTGAGAATAAGAAAAAAATAATTCTGAAGAAATTCAGATTTATAAATTATCACATTCATCGATAACGACGAAATACGTCGACTCAGATATTTTTATAATAAAACTGATCAAGAGATACTTTGAAATCTCCTCCAAAGAAAGTTAAAAAGAAATTAGATAAGAAAAAAATTATATGTATATGCATACGTATATGTATATTTCTTTTTGTAAAGCATCACATTCCTTTTCTAATGTAATGCATTGTTTGTTTGTTTATTTGAACAAGCAAGATGAATGTGTTAATTTACATGACTGTTTCTGAAAAGAATTTTAAGACGTACTGAAATATATTACTGAAACTTAAACTCACAAAATGAGTATGCGTAAAATAATAAGCAAAGCTTTTGCCTTTGTATCAGTTTTAAATTATAGTTTTTCAACATCTTCTAAATATGAACTGCTCTCAACCTTAGAGCACTGTTGCTCTTTACATTTTTGAAATTTGAAGCAAACTGAATAGAAAATTTACTATTTAATTAAAAAAGACACATTCATTCCATTTTTAATCTCACTTAATCTAAAAACTCGCCTCAGATTATTATGCCAAAACACTTGAGGTTTTCAGCTTATTATTATTCAGCATATAATCCTATGAATACATTATTATAAATGTCAATTTGCCTCTATAATGCTATAGACACTTTTAGTTAGTGCTTTAAAATAAAAATGATACCTGTATCATATATTTAAAAAAAAAATAATAAAACTAGCATGTGTTTATATGCTTTCTTATCAAAATAAAATTAAAACAGCTTGCTTAACAAAAAAATAAAGTAACAATGTTGGAAACATTTTTTTTTTGTTTTAAATAAAATCAATAACATAAGTTAGATTTTTTTTTTTTTTTTTTGCATAAACATTTTTCCTTTTTAAATCTTACCTCCTGACCAGGTGGCACAATCGTGGGTACATTGTTGCAGAACGTTACAGAGTTCCTGCAGAAAGATATTTCTTTTGGGAAGTAAAGAGTTTTTTTTTTTTTTCTGCAGAAATTTTCTAAAGATTTTATCTTTTCCTCCGAATTATATTCAAAAGATGCCTTTCTCGCGCCTCCGAGTGGAAAAATAAAAATGCTTTTTCTATCCTCATTTGAGAACAATGAAAAATAAAGATTAATGAAGTAAAAAATATGGTTTTCTTTTCTGCTGAAAATTTCGTTCTAAATTTTGTAATGCACTTTTTGAAGAAAAAAGAAATTCTATCATTTAAAGTTCTTACTTTATAAACATAAAATTAAGAACTTTACATAATCAGGATTAAAAAAATTGATTTCCACATAGTTTTAATATCCGATATTTTTAGTATGATATTATTTATTATAACAACGAAATGAAAGTGAGCATTTTGTAACCCTTTTTTAAAGAGTCTGATTTACCGCTAAGGATTTCGCCATTTTTTTTTTTTAAATGAGATGATTGTTTACACAATGCAAAAAAGGAAATAATTAGTCTATTTTCCCCCTACAAATTGCGAGAATATAGCCCATAATATTAGAATAAAGACAATATTACATATTTAATTAAAAAACTATTTTATTTGAACCGAAAAGTTTTTTTTTCCTCCAAAAGGAATGTATTTCAAGAAAATTAGGCTGTTCAACTTATGTGGACCTCGAATGGCTCTAGTAAAAAAANTCAAAGAGTCCCAGGCCGTCATAGTCAGCGATGGTCACAGTCTATCAAAGGCTTTCAGATTTCTCACGCCAAGACCAACTCGATCCTCCTTTTCTAGAGCTAGAGGTTTTGTGAATAAAACCAGTTTCTTTGCCGGATTGTGCGCTTTACGCGTGTCGAAGCCATCTCAACAATTTGGACGATAGGGCTCTGTTTAACAGTGAGCTGCTCAACAACAAAATGTCTGCCACAAGTTATTTTCATTCACAGAGCCTTAATTTTTCTCAGAATTTTTTTTTCAAAGACCCAAGGAAGACTCCATTCTTATTTCACCACATGATATAGAAAATTCTGGAATGTGCGCTTCTGTTCATTAGAGTTCAATTATTCAATTCAATAATTCATTCGAATTCAGCTCTTCAAAACTTCTTCCAGTTTTAACAAGTCATTCCAAGGGGTAGCAATAAAGGGCTTTACATTTTATATAAATTCGAAAATAAAAACAATTTGCACAATTTTAACAATTTGCACTCTCAAAAATGCAATAGTAATTTAACACAGTAAATTTCAAAATAATTTCTCGTTCACTATTTGTTTGCAAGTTATATATAAAAATGAAATTATGATAAGTAATTTTTGTTGAAAAAAATATGTAATGCATATTAATTTCACTCTCTGAACCTAAGTACAAAACATTTACAAATATCCCGAAGAAAGTTTAGAATATTAAGAAGAGAAAAAAAATAATTCTGAAGAAATTCGGATTTATAAATTATCACATTCATCGATAAGGACCTCGACTCAGATATTTTTATAATAAAACTGATCAGGAGATAATTGAAATCTCCTCCAAAGAAAGTTTAAAAGAAATTAGATAAGAAAAAAATTTATATGTATATGCATATATATATGTATATACATATTTTTATTTTTGTAAAGCATCACATTCCTTTTCTAATGTAATGCATTGTTTGTTTATTTGAACAAGCAAGATGAATGTGTTAATTTACTTGACTGTTTCTGAAAAGAATTTTAAGACGTACTGAAATATATTACTGAGACTTTTGAACTCACAAAATGAGTATGCGTAAAATAATAAGCAAATTATTTGTCTTTGTATCAGTTTTAAATTATAGTTTTTCAACATCTTCTAAATATGAACTGCACTCAACCTTAGAGCATTGTTGTTCTTTAAATTTTTAAAATTTGCAGCAAACTGAATAGAAAATTAACTATTTAATTAAAAAAGACCCATTCATTCGATTTTTAATCTCACTTAATATAAAAACTTGCCTCAGATTATTATGCCACAACACTTGAGGTTTTCAGCTTATTATTATTCAGCATATAATCCTATGAATACATTATAAATGTCAATTTGCCTCTATAATGCTATAGACACTTTTAGTTAGTGCTTTAAAATAAAAAAGATACCTGTATCATATATTTAAAAAAAATAATAATAAAACTAGCATGTGTTTATATGCTTTCTTATCAAAATAAAATTGAAACAGCTTGCTTAACAAAAAATAAAGTAACAACGTTGGAAACATGTTTTTTTTTTTTTAAATAAAATCAATAACATAAGTTAAGATTTTTTTTTTGCATAAACATTTTTCCTTTTTAAATCTTACCTCCTGACCAGGTGGCACAATCGTGGGGACATTGTTGCAGAACGTTACAGAGTTCTTGCAGAAAGATATTTCTTTTGGGAAGTAAAAAGTTTTTTTTTTTTCTGCAGAAATTTTCTAAAGATTTCATCTTTTCCTCCGAATTATATTCAAAGGATGCCTTTCTCGCGCCTCCGAGTGGAAAAATAAAAATGCTTTTTCTATCCTCATTTGAGAACAATGAAAAATAAAGATTAATGAAGTAAGAAATCTGGTTTTTTCTTTCTGCTGAAAATTTCGTTCTAAATTTTGTAATGCACTTTTTGAAAGAAAAAAAAATCTATCATTTAAAGTTCTTAATTTATAAACATAAAATCAATAAAATTAAAAACTTTACATAATCAGGATTAAAAAAATTAATTTCCACATAGTTTTAATATCCGATATTTATAGTATGATATTATTTATTATAACAACGAAATGAAAGTGAGCATTTAGTAACCCTTTTTTAAAGTGTCCGCTAAGGATTTCACCATTTTTTTTTAAATGAGATGATTGTTCACAAAATGCAAAAAAGGAAATAATTAGTCTATTTCCCCCCTACAAATTGCGAGAATATAGCCCATAATATTAGAATAAAGAAAATATTACATATTTAATTAAAAAACTATTTTATTTGAACCGAAAAGTTTTTTTCCTCCAAAAGGAATGTATTTCAAGAAAATTAGGCTGTTCAACTTAATGTGGAAACTCTCAANAAAAAAAAAAAAAAAAAAAAAAAAAAAAAAAAAAAAAAAAAAAAAAAATAAATAAATAAAAATATCATTATTAAGATCAGTGCAGTAATAAATTTTATTTTTTATCATTTAAAATTCTTAATTTATAAACATAAATCAATAAAGTTAAAAACTTTACATAATCAGGATATAAAAAAAAACTAATTTCTTATTAATATTGCAGGGAAAATTGTGAAAATCGTGCATTTTTTGTAATTTAGAACGACAATCGATACGACAAAGAAAAAAAAATATATATTTTTCAAAGATAAGCACTTTTAAGGGTTATTAAAAAACGTAAATAAAAATTAGCACCTTTAAACACTTTTCAAAAAGTTGATTATCTGAGACATCAGAAAACTGTGTGAATATTCCTTTTCAGTCTTATCTAGCAATTTTAATAAAATCAGCAGCTTTTAACCTTTCTCTGTACATATTATACTCAATTTATTAAGAGGAAACAAAAATTACTTTGCCATGTTGAGCTATCTGTATTTATTAGTTTTAATTCCTGGAAAAACAGCTGAACATACTTAAACAATGCTGTAGTAAATTAAATAGTTTGGTATAGCTGAAAGATCATCCTTAAATATTCCATAGATTACGCTGAGTGGTCTCGATTTTTTAAAAGACAAAAATAAGAAACAAAATTCCCTGTATTTTCCTAGCTTGTAAACAAAAAATCAAAATTCCCTGTTATTTTAAGTGATTTTTTTTTAAAATTCCCTCTATTAACGTTAAATAAATATTTCCTGTATTAAATTATTTCCCACATTAATGACTTATAACAAACAAACAATTAACTTACAAGGCAAAAAATTGTACCCTGCAGTTAAATGGTTAGGATTTAAGTCCCCCTGGGCAAAGCATTTAAACATGGTTGTTAAAATTACGTTATGTTTAAAAAATATAGATTCAACAATGGAATTTTTTAAATTCTTCTCCCGTTTCAAAAAAAAAGAAAAAAAAAAGAAAGAAAGACATAAATATTTAATATTATTTAACAATAAAACTGAACTAAAATTCTTAATTCCAGTAATAGTAAAAAGCTTAATATTATTCTTTAATTATTGCGAATTAATTAACCTAAACATTCTATGATTTATTAAAATTTAGAAGAAAAAAGAGAAAAAAATGCTGTAAAAAACCTGACAACAACATTCAACTTTCACACCACATGCATACATCATTTAACTTGCGGGCTTTTAAGCCACGCCCTTTCATTCAGACTTGCGGGCCCGATTAGGCCGCGCCAGCGGTCAGTCGACTTACGGGTCGTCAAGACCTCGCCAGCGGCGCCATTCACTCATTGCAAGGTTTTATACAAAGCAATTTTTAAAAAAATGGGCATGATAAAAAAAGAAAGAAAAAGTTATGCATAGAAATGTTAACAAAAAAAAGTTTTATGAGAAATAATGCTTTGCACAAGGCCACTAAAACCCTAACCATTTAATTGCAGGCTACAGATTTTTGCTTTATTAGTTAATTGTTCTTTAGTTAAAAGTCACTAATGTGAAAATAAATAAATAAATAAAAATTCTTGAGCTAATTGAAGTTTTGAAGTTTCTTTTTTAAGAAAAAAGACTTACCTCCTCCTCCTCCTGAGGGGGCGAAGTCTTGTTTCATGGTAGTTGACGGGGGGATGTTCACGCAGCCGCGATGAAACAGGACCCCCGTCGTCTGGGGTGCAGGGTGGGGCAGAGTCTCCTAACAGCATCTGCAACCGAGTGCTCCTTGGTTCTGTAAAAAAAAAAAAATTCATTTTAGAATTTTTAAGAAATGCTTGGAATATAAATCTTTTGAGCAAAAGCGTACTGCAGGGTTTCTACAGAAGAAAAATGAACAAAATAGTTGCTTTTAGTAGCCTAAAGCAGTGGTGCGCAAACTAGGGGTCGCGACCCCTGTGGTTTTGGGGGTCGCCAAATTTTTATGAAATGCATTATCCCTGCATGCTGCATACTATACAGTGTACAAATAAAGAGTGAAGCTCCGCCACTAACTGTTTAATTGCAATTTCATGCTGTCCACTCTTTCTTTGACCGTAATGCGTAATGTGTTCTCCATCTGGCTATCCGTGGAAAAACAATATCCCGTTTTATGCAAGAATGCCATCAGAGTGTTAATACAATTTGCATCAATGTATTTATGTGAAACTGGATTTAGCAAACTAGTTTCAATAAAAACTAAATACCGCTCGCGTTTAAACCCTGAAGATGGTATGCGAATTGCAATTAGCAACATACATCCAAACATCGATGAGATAATTAGAAACTTGCAGNTGGTCAATAAAAATTATTAAAAACACTTGATTATTAATTAAATTTTCCTTGGATCGAAAAGTTCTTTTGTTTATCTTTATTATTAAAAAAATAAATAAAAAATTTGTAAGTTAAAAAAAAAATCATCATCGTAGGATTGAAGATTTTTTAAAAATACGATCTAAAATAAAGCAATGAAAAAATTTTGACTTTTTTTGGGGTCGCGACATGAACATATTTCTCAAATTTGGGTCACGGCTTAAAAAGATTAAGAACCACTGACTTAGGTAACTGTTATATACCATAATCCATTCAGTCAAGTTGATGGAAAATATGATAATTTTTATGTAAACATTATTGTTCTAGCATTAAATTTTTATATCAAAAATTTTTTTTTATATTTGCAGAAAATTAAATACTTTTAATTACCAGAAATAATTTAAAAAAAATAATTTTCTATTTAAAAAAAAACACTTTCTATAGAAAGTTCAGTTTAACCAATAATTAATTTAGCAAATTTATATATATTGTGAAAAGTGATTATTCAAATTCGAAATTCTCGCATCGAAATATCATATTAAAAATTGGGTTTTTTAAAATCATGCAGAATTTCGTAGCAATAACTGTTGAAAAGGCGATCGAGGAACAAAATAGACTTACAATGGAATCTGTGCAAATTGAGCAAATTAAAAAGTGATAAATCGAATTTTTTTAATCGTTTTTGTGATAAATCGAATTTGAATTAATAAGTGAAAATGGAAGATCAAAATTTTTTGAACTTCCATTGTGTTCAAAAAATACCGCGGGCCGCAGGTTGTCAACCCAAGTTATGCTAAAAAAAACAACAGAAGTCTCCCTATAATCTCCGTTTCCTGAAAATAGTTGCTTTCTTAGGCTTTTCATGCAAAAAAAGTTGCCATAGTAGCCTCAGATCGAAAATAGTAACAAATAGTGGCCTTTTAGTCACCTGTGGCAACTCTGGTAGCTGGTACTGTCAGACTATTTAACGAACTTCCATTTTGCGATTTTCTTTCTTCTTCGAAGAACCAAGAACATTTTGGAAATTTCTTCGTAAAATGACTTCAAAACAGTGAAGTGGTTTTTCTATTTAAAGAACTTTTCTTTGAGATTCACTTTCCCTATTTCCTAGAATATATCAGAACATTTCAAACTTGTTGAACGCATTTTATTTGGGGATGCCAAAAATCTATTTACGATAAAGCATAACAGAAATTTCTAATGGAACAATAGTGTAACAGATCGTACAATTGTAGCAGTTTTGCTAAAGCTGAATTCTTAGTCAGAGAGACGAATTTGTTAAGTGTAGATGTTGACATTCCTTCAGAAGAATTTCATAAGGGTACTGCTAAGAAAAAACCACGAAATGAATGATAATGTACTGATGAATTATTTTCTTTTTATTGATTTTCTGAAGCTGCAACCATACAAAAATTAACTGAATCGGATATTTTGGGACAATGTGAAAAATAAGAATACTACGGCAATAAATTGTGAGGAAGACGAAAATGATGAAGACATCACCAAATCTTCATAATGATAGAACGTTAAAATCATTTGAAACAATGTGATAACATATAATAAATTACAAGATAGAGGTTGTAATTGCTAACGTTAATGAATTTAAAACCTGTTTTGTGTCAATCAAGTAAGTGGTGAATTTAACTAATTTTCCATATCAGGGGTCCGTTTTTGTAAAATTGTGAAAAAATTACTCGTAATTTGTGAACATAAAATAAACGTTAAGTCACATTCTTTCAACCAGGGTCCGCTTTTGCGAATTTGTGCAAATAGGGTCCGTTATTGTAAAAAAAACTTTTTCAAGGAGTTTTTAAATTGTAAAGACATACAAGATTATGCTCAACACTGTAAAATTATAATTTAAAAAATTAAATTTTCAAAAATAAACAGCAATCGCAGCTGCTAAATTAGCGATGCAACATCTAAATATTTGGTATTTAGCCTATACGCAGAAAATTCATTTCGGACGAATAAAGGAAGAAGCGTCTGCCGAAGACAAAACTTAGTTCGCTTACATCTGTCCTTCTCCCCCCCCCCTTCCTAGGAAGGGTTTATTCGATTAACAAAACAACAATGAAGGCAAACAAATATGTGAAGGGTCCGATTATAAGATAAATTATTCTTTGAAGGGTCCGTTTTTAAGTTAAAATATTTTTTTAAGGGTCCGTTTTTATGAAAAGATATTTTGGGAAGTGTCCGTCAACGGACCCAAATTTCTTCTAAACAGATAGCATATAATGAACTTTTTATCGGGATTTAGCAACTTCGTTAAATAGAGGTCCCACTGTATTTTGTATTTTTGACTATCAAAACGTAGGGGTATAGCCAAGTCCTGATACTGAAGACAGGAAGGAGTGGTCGAGCGATGTTTATGCATACCACAAAGAATTCGTGCCAAGTCTCCTGTTTTTTAACGCAGTATTTTACGACTATCTCCTGTTTACCTGCAGTCTCAAATTTCTCTGTATTGGTTGACTTTCTGTGAGGTATTTTTAAAGTTTCTAGCGGGTCACTTGGCGATTATTCTGCCATAGATTAGGATACGAAAATTTCTCCTCTAGTTTCCACCAACCGCAGGGCAGACGTAAAATATCCTAAGTTATCATGGGTTAGAGAGACCTTGGATAGCCTTTAGATTAAAATAAATAAACAAATAAACAACTTACTTCGGGACCGGACGGGAGGTGGAGTTGGAGGTGATGCAGCAACCGGTGAAGGAACTGATTCAAGAACTGATTCAGCAACTAATTCAGGAACTGATTCAGCAACTGACTCAGAGACTAATTCAGCAACTAATTCAGCAACTGATTCAGAAACTGATTCAGAAACTGATTCAGCAACTGATTCAGAAACTGATTCAGCAACTGATTCAGAAGCTGATTCAGCAACTGATTCAGAAACTGACTCAGTGGCTGAATCAGAAACTGACTCAGTGGCTGAATCAGAGACTGACTCAGTGGCTGAATCAGAAACTGACTCAGTGGCTGAATCAGAAACTGACTCCTCAGTGGCTGAATCAGAAACTGACTCAGTGGCTGAATCAGAAACTGACTCAGAAGCTGAATCAGAAGCTGAACCAGAGCTTGAATCAGAAGATGAATCAGAACTTGAATCAGAAGATGAATCAGAACTTGAATCATCCTCACCTTCCTCCCTCTGGTTAAGAAACCGTTCCACTCGTTGCAGACGAATCTAAAAAGAGATTTAACACATTATTGCATCTTGCATTCTCTACGTATATGTAAAGAATGGGGAATAAGTTTAGGGGGGGGAAAGGGATGCATAGTTAGATTTTTCAACAAAAAATAAACACACACTTGCCTATATGGATAAGAAAATATCCAGTAGAATTTACAAAATAATATAAATTTCATAATAATTTATGCATAATGTACCAAATATTCTATACATAAGGAATTTTAGGGATTTTTATAGTCATCAAAATAGAAAAACTGCCTTATTTTCCAGTTATGACTTCACATTAAACATAACTTGAAATGTTATCAGGGGTCTGTCCAAACATTTTGTAAAAGGTCCGTTTTTGTAAAATTGTGAAAAAATTACTCGTAATTTGTGAATAAGCGTTAACATTATAATATACGTTAATTCACATTCTTTCAACCAGGGTCCGCTTTTGTGAATTAGCGCAAATGGTGTCCATTATTGCAAAAAACTTTTTGAAGGAGTCTTTTAATTGTAAACACGTACAAGATTATGATCAACACTGTAAAGTTATAATTAAAAAAATTAAATTTTAAAAAGTAAACAGCAATTGCTGCTACTAAATTAGAGATGCAACATACAAATACTTGGTGTTTATTAGCCCATACTGCTGAATGCAGAATATTCATTTCGGACGAATGAAGAGAGAAGCTTCTGCTGAAGACAAAACTTAGTGCGTTTGCATTTGTCTTTCTCTCCCCCCCCCCCTTCCTGGGATGGGTTTATTCGATTAACAAAACAATAATGAAGATAAAAAAAAAATTGTGAAGGGTCCGATTAAAAGATAAATTATTTTGTGAAGGGTCCGTTTTCAGGGGTCTGTATAGAAGAAATTTGGGTCCGTTAACGGATTCTTCACAAAATATTTTAACTCGAAAACGGACCCTTCACAAAATAATTTATCTTTTAATCGGACCCTTCACAAATTTTTTTTTGTCTTTATAATTGTTTTGTCAATCGAATAAATCGTAAACGAAGTAAATTTTGTCTTCGGCAGCCGCTTCTTCCTTTTTCCTTTATTCCTCCGAAATGAATATTCTGCGTTCAGCGGTATAGGCTAAATACCAAATATTTATATGGTGTCGCTAATTTAGTCGCTGCAATTGCTGTTTATTTTTAAAAATTTAATTTTTTTAATTATAATTTTACAATGTTGAGCATAATCTTGTATGTCTTTACAAATTAAAAACTCCTTAGAAATTTTTTTGTTGTTGCAATAACGGACCCTATTTGCACAAATTTACAAAAGCGGATCCTGGTTGAAAGAATGTGACTTAACGTTTATTTTATATTCACAAATTACGAGTATTTTTTTCAAAATTTTACAAAAACGGACCTTTCACAAAATGTCTGGACAGACCCCTGGTTTTTAAATTAAAATATCTTGTGAAGGTCCGTTTATATGAAAAGCTATTTTGTAAAGTGTTATCGGACCCAAATTTCTTCTAAACAGACTCCAGGTTATGTATTATGTTTATTCATAATTTCGAATATTAATAGGCATTTAATTCATCAACATAGTTAAAAGATATTTTCAATCAATTTAAAAAAAGAGCGGTGAACTGAACATTTTAGAATTAAATAAAAGTTTTGAAGTGATTTCTGTAAATACGATTCGTTTCGATCATAAAATCAATAAAATTAAAATACATATTCAACAACTTTACATAATCATGATAACAAATCTAGTTTCTGATAAATATTGCAGATAAAATTGTAACAGGCATGTTTTTTTTTTTTTTATTTTTTTTNAAAATCATTTATTTTTTGTGATTTAGAACGACAATCGATACGGCAAGGCAAAAATCTCTCATTAAAAGATGAAAAAATTAAGCACTTTTTACAATCCCAGAATAAAAAAACGCACCTTTAAGAACTTTTGAAAAACGCAAATCAAAAATAAGCACTTTTTAAAAACACTAAGCAACCTGCTAAATAAAGAACGAAACAAGAGTCGAAACACTTTCGGAAACATTTTGTTACTACAAGGTGCGTAGCCAAATTTTTCAACAAAAAATAAGCACCATTTAAGCACTTTATTAAAAAAAATCATAATTAGGCAGGATTGGCAAATTTTGACACTTGACGGTTTTAACCGTCAAATTGTCAAAAACCCAAAATTTTGGCCTAAAGATTATTATTGGCTATTATAAATATGAAGAAATTTTAAATAAATATATATATGTAAAATTACAAGTGTTCCAATTATGTTCTTGAATTATTTTAACGTAAAACTCTTTTTTTCTGAAAATTACTGTTAAAAGTCCAAATTTTGGTGTAGAAAATATTAAATAATTATAAATAAAAATGTCTCAAATTACAACTTATCCGGTTCATTAATTTGTCTAATTATTGGAGATAAAAATACAAAAACAATTATCTTATAAGAAAACACTTAACAATCATCTAATTCTTTATACGTAAAATCAGATTTCATATATTTTAATTTAACTCTTTTCCACAAAGCAAGTGAATTTAAAAAGAAAAAAAAAGTTTTATATCCCTCTGTGCTCCTAGTTCATTTTTCAGTTTCGTATGAATAAGACCAAAATTTCAAACTGCTCTTACGATGTAATTCGCATAATTACAATGTAATTTTGCATAATTCGTGGCGAAAGTCAACATGGAAAAGAAAGAAAAAAATCTCATTTTGGAAGAGGGAAAATGAAGCCCTTTTTAAAAACACTCTAAGAAAAAAGCACCTTTAAGCACTTTTTAAAAACGCTACGCACCCTGTACTACAGTGTTTCCCAAATTCATGACTTTTGTGTACCCTTTCAGAATATCGAGCTTATCTCAGGAAAAACACAGGCATAAAAAAATAATCATTTATATAGTAAAACTGTTGTATTCGAGAAGGTTATTTCTTACTTCTTTATCTTCTGCCTTCCTCCTCCTCTTATGAGACGACGACTCCTAAAGATAAAAGAAATTTTTTTTTATTAATAATCAAGAGAAAAAAATATAGAATTCAAGTACTGAATACGATCCAGATTAGAGCTTGGTGACTTGATACGCTAAGTCCGACGACAGTTGAAAGAAAAAATGGCGACTATAACTACTTTGTCTGGTACATTTCTTATCTCTCTCTCTCTCTCTGTACAGTCCCTTACCAAATTACTCGACGCACTATAAATTTCTACGTAAACAGGGGTCTGTATAGAAAAAATTTGGGTCCGTTAACGGACCCTTCACAAAATATCTTTTCATAAAAATAGACCCTTCAAAAAATTGATTTTTTTAATTGGACCCTTCACAAATTTGTTTATCTTTATTATTGTTTTTCATTATTGTCTTCATATTTGTTTATCTTCATTACGAATAAACCCTTCCCAGGAAGGGGGGAGACAGATATAAACAAACTAAATTTTGTCTTCCGAAGATGCTTCTTCCTTTATTTGTCCGAAANTCTCTAATTTAGAAGCAGCAATTGTTGTTTATTTTTTAAAATTTAATTTTTTTAATTATAATTTTACAGCGTTGAGCATAATCTTATATGTGCTTACAATTTAAAAACTCCTTGAAAAAGTTTTTTTCTCGCAATAACGGACCCTATTTGCACAAATTCATAAAAGCGGACCCTGGTTGAAAGAATGTGAGTAATTTTTTCACAATTTCACGAAAAACGGATCTTTCACAAAATGTCTGGACAGACCCCTGGTAAAATCGTAATTTTCAGGTGATACTAAACAGCTTAACTGTTTTAAAGAGAATGAAACCGGTTTGTTGTTTACGTTCTTGTTTGAATTGGTTAACAATGTAATGCAAAACGTTAAAAATAAATGCAAATAGGAAGAATACGGAAAATCTCTTGCATAGAAGTTCATTACATGCAGGGCCGAATTAGGCGTACGCGGGGGCCCTTAAATTAAATTTTTTTCTCGTATATTTTTTATTTATTCAAATATAGAAGTATTTATATACAATAATACTTATAAATAATAACTAAAATAAGTATTAAATAAATATGATTAACATTACGTAAAAAAATTATCGTATTTTATTAATATATATTTGAAATTGATTTTTTTTAAATCATTGTTTTTCTTAATTTTTTTATTTATTTTCAAAAAATCCATTTTAAGGGGGCGGGGCCCCTTATCATTGGGGGCTCCAGGCCATGGCCAAGCACTGATTATATGTATGTTTAAATATAAAAGTATTGCCTATTAACTCGAGTAAAACATGTCCTTATTAAAACACTACAGTAAGTCTAATAATTTGATATAATTATTATAACATACTATTATAATACCTGATATAATAAATATTCTATATTTATATATCGCCTAATTTAACCCATTGATCCACGAACGTAAACAAGTGGAAATCGATTTCAGTAGGGTAAAAGCAATAAAGTGGTATCACTTGATAATTAAGATTTTACATAGAATATAAATGCGTCTATACAAATAAGAATATAAATGCGTCAAATATAAATGCGCATAGACTATAAATAATGTATAGCGCGTCGAATAATTTGGCTAGGAACTGTATGTAGTCAGCCATTAATAGAAGTACGCAATTATTTCAAGTACCGGATCATTAATTGGGATCACGTTTTTCACACGCAGTTTTTACATTTTCATGGGGTGTATATTAATAACCCTTGTTGAACAGTAGACCCAATTCTGGGACTATGCTCCGTGGTCTTGTAATTTTGAATACAATCCAGAAGTCATGGCAGGGTGCGTAGCTAGGTTTTTAACAAAAAATAAGCACCTTTTAAGTACTTTTCAAGCACTCAAAAAACATTTGAATCACTTTCCAAGAAAAAAATTTCATAATTAGAAATTGTAATAAAAAAAATTTATTTCCTATCATTAAAGATTCTTAATTTAAAAACATAAAATTAATAAAATTCAAAAACCTTTTCGAAAACTTTACATACTGATGATAAAATGACTAGTTTCTAATAAATATCGCAGTCAAACTTGAGAACATCGTGCATTTTTTGTAATACAGAACGACATTCTACACGGTTGAGAAAATAAATCTCTTTTTAAATGATAGAAAATTAAGCCATTTTTGAAAAAAACCCGAATAAAAAAAAGAAAATGTTAATCAAAATAAGCACCTTTAAGAAAGCTTAATAACAGCTTAATAATAAGACATTTTTTTTGTAAAAATTTGACGATTGCGTCTTTAAAAAAAATACTAGCATTAGTTTTTTTACAAAGAATTTATATAACAAAATCGTATTTTTTATAAATTGAATAAATTGTTTATGAATTAAAGGTATCACAAGATAATGCATATTTTAGAGACTTCAGTTTAAAAAAATATATCAGTACACGTAACAAGCTGGATAATAAAATAAAAACGATAAATATAAAATAATAATGAAATAAATAATAAAGGTTTAAAATACATTAATGAATTTCGGGTGTGCATTCGAATAAGATAATTCTTGCATTCTAATAAGAAAATTAAAATCTAATTCAGTAAACATTTAGTTCATTCAGGGTGCTTAGCCAAATCTTTCAATAAAAAATAAGCACCTTTGAAGAACTTTTTAAGTACTCAAAAAATATTTTTAAACACTACATACATTAACAAAATCTATATATATATATTTCTCTTACACGGCGATAAAAAAAAAGCCTCATTACAACTCCCCGAATGGCAACGCTAGAAAATAGACCAATGATTACCGTTAAAAATGTCACATGCCAAATCTAGCTAAGATGGCTCAACATATAGCGCTTTTAAAAACGGAAACTGAAATAACCAGGGAGAGCATAAGCTAGGCAGAAGTTTTTGTCGATAGATCTCTATTTTGGTTTTTTGTCGAAAGCGTTTTTTTTTCACGAATTTATGTATTACGAATTTATTTGACAATTTTTGATTTATATCACGAATTTATTTGTTTTACTAGAATTTATTTGTTTATGCAGGTTTTTCCATTGCAATTCACTTATTTAAATTTTTAATAGACTTAATTATAGCCGAAATTTTAATCTTTTTAAAGAGATATCAGTTTTAGAAATTTTATCTTAAGATTTTATACTATAGCACATTTCTAATAGATTTAACGAATTACATGTCATTTATTTGAATTCAAATTTATTTTAAGGACTCAGTACTTACTAAAAAGATGTAATTTGTTTTAGAAAAAAAAGTTGTTATATAGATTTGAATGATTGTTTTGAATTCTTAGAATTTTGTGCATTTGCAATGTACCTAAGTTAGTAGC